GCACAGAGCAGCAGCCGCCACAGTCCAGCTGTAAAAGAGCCAGGCGCGGGCGTGTTGCTGCTCCGTGTTCCTACCGCGACACGGCGGCGGCGGCAGGGGGTCCGCGCGCTCACCCCAAAATCTTTATTCTAATAATAATTGCGTACACTTACTGGATACAGCGCCCTTCTGGACACTCCACTCAGAGCGCTGTACAGGTCATGGGGACCCCCTCCACCCCCACCAGTGTGTACCCCCACCTGGATGATGCTCCAGTCCACCCCCCCACACACCAGCTCTCAGTGGGGAGGAGAGCAGAGAGATGGAGCCAGTTCAGAGAGGGGGGTTAGGAGGCCATGATTGGTGAAGGCCAGGGGGAAGGAAATTTCATCCCAAACTGCTACCAGGGCCCAGGCGCAGATTACTCCAGGCTCCAGGGGCTTGCAAGAGCAGCGTCTTCAGCCTTGGGGCCTGAGTGGCCAGGGGCTTCTGGGAGTAGGCGAGCATGTACCAGCCGGTGGGCTGCCAGGTGACGGCACAGCAGCGACAGCACCGCGCTCAGGGCCGGGGTTTGGTGCTCGTAGGCCCTGGGCACTTTCACTCCCAAGTGTGCAGAAAGAGGGGGAGACGCCGATTGAACGACGTCGCCTGACATGACGCCCTTTAAACTTCTCTCACGCTAAACCCCGTGACTGATGGGGCGAGTCGAGTGACCAGCACTTCGGTGCCTCTAGTTTCTGGAACAGCCGCTCGAGAGCGCAGGATTATTGATCTGGAGCACCTGGAGTCGATCGCAAGCCTGTTGTTCCAGCTCATTTTTCGTGGGTCACCAGTGTTTTCCTCCTTCGTGGGCCCCAGGAATGTCGTACGGCCCTAGTGCCTCATGGGAAATCCGGCACTGACTGCCCTGCGATCCTGTGATTGGGCCTCCTGTGACCTGGAGTAATCAGGGCTCAGCGCACAGAGCCAGTTACAGAAGCGACATCACCCCCTGGCCTCAGAACTCTCGACAGAGTCGAGCTCTGCCAGGCAAGCTGGAACACGCCAGGCAAAGGAAAACGAAAAGGTTGCAGAAAGGGAAAAAAAACAGCCAGCAATATTTAATCCACCTCCGTTGGCGTTTGGGGGTGGGAAACCTTGAAGGGTAGAGGAAGAAAATGAGATCTGAAAACATGCCTTTACATTCGGTGCGACGAGGCTGCTTTCTGGGCTTGTGGGAGGGGTTCAGAGACACAGGCATGAGTAATCAAGGGGTGAGTTCAGGGCAGTCATCTCATTCGACTTATCTGGCCTGAGCTGGCCGCCACCCAAGTCCTCGCTGAGAAGGCGCTGGTGCATGAATGTGCCCAGTAATGAACTTAACGCGACCAGACAGTTTCGGGGCTCATTAAAGGCTTGGGTCAGGAATGGGAAAAACATTCTCATTCCCCAACTTTTTTTTTATTTATCCGGAAGGCAGAACGCGTCTGTTTTGACGAGATGTGTTTACAACTCGAGCGGCCTGACAGGGATTAAGGTTAATGAAACATTTTGCTGACAGAATTTATGACGTGATAGGTGACGTCACAGACACGGCAACTTCTGCACCACAGGACGCAGAGAAACTCGGTTTTCTCCAGACGAGAGGGGTGCGGTATATGCAGCGAATAGATTAAGGTAACCTGTTGCCACAGGGGATGAGCACAGAGAAAGCAGACTCCTATAAGAATAAATAAAAGTCATCACTATGAAGAAAAGTTTATTTCGGCAAAGGCTCATAAAGTCAGAGAAAAAAAAACGTTGTTGGGCTCTACTCCCACTTTTCCCATATAGGCTCTCCAGAAACATGCAGTATCAGATCTCTCAGGGCATTTGAACTGATGGATAGCTTTTTAAAAGATATCATTGGAGAGGAATTTAGAAAATGAAAAATGCGTCGCGCCGTGACGCTATTTCGGAGCTGCGTTGGCGATAGGGGGTTTGTGATTTTCTCCGGCGTTTTTTTTTTTCTCTTCCACTCTGTATCAACCGTCAAGGGGAAGAGTAAGAAGAAAAAAAACCCGGGATACATCAAATTAAACGAGTCGGCTTGTATTTCCTTATCTTGGAAAGCTCGTATTTCTTGTTAGATAGCTTATCGCGATGAATAAATCCCAAGAACACGGTATTGTCAGCGCGCCTCCTCTTTCGGCGGCGGAGGTAGGAGACGGGCGGTTTCCTGTCGCAGCGCAAACACTGCGTCCTACAAGCGCCCCTGCGCCCCGTCGGAGAGGTTGAAACTTTCAAACAAGTGGTGCCTCACAGGCGCTTAGAGAGCCACTTCAGCTGAAGGACATCGGGTTTCACATGGGAAGTCACACGGGGGGAATTCAGCGCCAAGTCCCCGTGATGGCTGCGAGATCGGCCGGGGTATCAACAGGCCGGCTTGATGCAGAGACAACGAAAGAGTGCGCTCTTCGTGTTTGGTGACCTCCGTCTTCCGCCATTACTCGTATCGAAGTTGCTTGATAACCCAAATAGTAATAACAGAAAGAGTACACAGGAGAGGGAGGGCATCCTGTCTACCAGACCCCCCCGACCAACGCTTTGCGTAAAGAAACGACTCCTGTCCTCATTTTTAAACGCCTGGGGTGTCCTGTCTCCCGTGGGCTCTGAAGTAAGATGGGTTGGGTTTGTCGGTGCCTTCGAGGACTTCAGGTAGTGGGATCCATTTATGGTCGTCTGTTTTTAGGACTCGAGAGCAGGGCCGGATTGTGGTGTCTGTAGGCCCCGGGCACCTTCACTCCAAAACGTGCAGAAAGAGGAACGCCAATTGAATTGCGTGGATGGACATGACGCCCTTTAAACTACTTTCACGCTAAACCCTGTGACTGATGGGGCGAGTCGAGTGACCAGCACTTCGGTTCCTCTAGTTTCTGGAACAGCCGCTGGACAGCGCAGGATTATCGATCTGGAGCACCTGGAGTCGATCGCAAGCCTGTTGTTCCAGCTGTTTTTTTTTTGTGGGTCGCTAGTGTTTCCCTCCTCCGTGGGCCCCAAGAATGTCGTAAGGCCCTAGTGCCTCATGGGAAACCCGGCACCGCTTAACAGACCAAGTTCTTTCGCCTCAGCAGAACAAGATGCTCTTTCCTGCCTGGAATTTAGCCGATTAGTGTTTTTTCTATCTGATTTATGAGCAGCGGTATGTTCTCTGTAATGTCTCCATCATCGTGCAAGCTGAAAACTATTTAAACATTGTGTCTCCCTCAGGAAAGCCAGAGGAGGGGGGGAGGTACTGTCTTTACACAAAGGCTTGTGGGAGTCTGGAACAAGCTACCCAGCCACGCTCTTGGGGCCGGTATCCTGGGATCTCCTCAGGAAAGGGCCGGATCTTTGGATCAATTAGTGGTAGCAGGCAAGGGAGCAAGATGGGAAGACTGGTTTCTTCTCATTTGTATCTGTTTTTCTGGCCTGTAGGGTGGGCAGTACTGTAGGGTTGTGCCTTTTTTTGGAGTTTTTTTTTTTGCTGCCCTGGGCAGTTCAGATCCTGTTTCCCCAACTGCACCATGAGGCTGCAAAGAAGTGAGGACGAGTTTATTCAGATCGTTTCAAACCCGCGTGTAGAGTTCGCAGCCGGAAAGCAGGAGGAGTGAATTCCACTGGGATGGACGTGCCGCATCGCTCGGCTGACTTCGGACGCTTTCGTTTTCCACAGCTCCTGGACTCGCGACATGTGGGCCAAACGGTCAGACGGAGATGCCGATTGTGTTACGTGGTGCCGCCGCTGCACAACATCTTGTAACAACCTGCGAAACTCCCCGGGAAGCTCTCCAGCTCTTGCGAGTTGCAAGACTGATTGTAGTCTGCATAAGTCCTGAATAATTAAATACCACCCCCATCCCGACTTGACAAACCTATAAATTACAGGGCCCATATGCAGAATGTTAAGGAGACAATCAGCCCCAGGAGCGCTCCTCTCTTTATTTTAATGGAGAACAGCGCTCCGAGCGCCCGGATTCAGATGTTCCCTTGCGCTGACAGGAGCAATTTACTTTAACATCTGCTCGCTGCCCCCAGCTGGTCTGCGGGCTATGAGCGGAGGGGTGTCTGTCCCGTGTGTGTGTGGGAGGAACGTGTGCGCCCTCCCCCTCCGCCCCTCGAGACGGGCAGCAGCGACACCCGTCGGGCCGGAGACAGCGCGCGGGAATCGCCGGCGACTCGGGAACTCGCCCTGCCGCTGAACGGCTCTCACGGGCCCGGGTCCTGGCAGATCCAGCAGTGTCCTTTGTTTATTTTTTTGGTCGGGATATTTTTTAAACGGAAGCAACCTCTCATCGGGATGTGCCGGTGAAAAATTGAGCACTTCGCAGGAAACAGAGCAGTGACCGCCGATGCGTTCCGAGCTGCGGGTACAGGGCTGCTTTTCGGAATTGTTGGTAGTGCTTCCCTGCAGGAGAAGGCTAGTGTCTGTGTGCAGGACTTAAAAAGAAAAGACTTAAAAAGAAAAAGAGCAGGTTCTTCCCCCCGGATAATTAAAATGTTGGAGCTGATCTAGACTGGGCAGTGAGAGGGTTGGCGGTTCTGTAATAACCTGAGAGCTGCAGGGCCGAATCCTTCCTGGCTTTGAGCTCCACAGGCTTGCCTGCGAGTGGAACTCTGGGAAGAGAGCAGAAGACCGACCACGAGCAAGAGGGGCTCGTGCAGCCCGTCCAGCTCGCCGGGTTGTCTCTTAACTTGTCTGAGGCTCCCGCCCAGAGTATTCTCGAAAGAAAACACGGTATCAGCACGCACAGCGTGGCAGAGTGGTTTGTTCCGGCCTCCCACGACCCTTTTTGCAGAGCAGTGCCTCTTGCCGTGAGCGGAGGACTATTATCAAAGAGCAGAGGGAGAGAGTGGGAGGTTTTCCTGTACACAGAGGCTGGTGGGGGTGTGGAACAAGCTGCCCAGCTATGTGGTGGAAGCCAATACCCTGGTTTCCTCCGAAAAAAATGGCAGGACGGGATTCTCTGTGTAACCCGTTCAGTGGCTACGGCTGGACAGGTACTTCTGGGCTCAGTCTGCCGGCAGCTGAAGGCAGATCTGGCCCCGGTTCCGGGACCGTCCGCACTCGCTCGGCTCGGGCTCGGGGGGGGCTCTGCGCACGCGCCGGGGAGGTCGCCAACCCCTCGGAATGAAGTGGGATCTGTAATTGAAAATCCAGGCAGAGAGGATAATGATCATTTATTTGTCTGAACTTTTAAAATGAGCAAAAAGAAAAACCTCTGCTCGCAAATTCAGCGGCTTATCTGGCAGGCACCCCGGTTAATTAAATCTAAAGGCATGCAAACACAGATTTGTGCTTCCCCAGCTCGGCAGCTCACATCCCTCTTCATTTAATCAAGCCGGCATTATAGTTTTGATTGCACTACACATCTTTTAACTTCTGCATAGCTATTAAATAATAATTGAAATTAATACCCGCCGAAAAGCCGGAGAAAAGTGATGCAAATGGAGGCGGTGTGTGTGTGTGTGGCTGTGGGGGGCTGGGGGGGGGAGTGCTGTCTCAGTTGCTCACATGACAGATCATTGGCTGTGGCAGTGAGACTCGTGCACTGCAGCTGCGTGGTGTGGGTCGCAGTGAGAGAGAGGTTTGGATCTGCGCAGGACATTCATCACCGGCAACAGGGGTTCAGGGCTGGCGACGGGTCCGACTCCCTGCCGTTCAGGTCTTGACCCAGCACGCCGCCTCGTGCCCGGTCGGTCCTGCCGAGGGCGTGGAGGGCAGGGAGACCGTTTCTGAAGGGCTGTTGCGCAGGCGTGGTATGTCGTGTTTTATTAGGGTGCAGGTGCCCTACGTGCGTCACAGCACTGGGGTCTGGGGTTCAGTCCTGCATGGAGCTCCTTCGGCCTGGAGTTTGCAGGCTCTGCCCAACTCTTCATGGATTCCCCTGGGCTCTGGGCCCGACTGTCTCGACGATTCAGTTTAAAAATACTTGGCATACACAGTATTTTAATATCTCAAGTAATCTTTACTAATATTTGTTGTTTGTTTTGGAGCCATCGTTGGGCTTTGTGAAAGACCTCCAAAGCCCTCCAGCCTCTTTCTTTCCCCCATTTTTATCTTCTGGCGTGTGCATGTTCACTCATGCTCACTTTTCATAGCTTTTCAGGATGTGATGTCATGGGCGATGATGACATAAGGAGAAGGAGCCCCCCGGACTCCCAGCGCACTTTGAAGTGGATTGGGCAGCGTTACACGGGGTGGGGTTACGAAACTGGAGAAGATCAGGATTGGACCGAGCGGTTCTGTCAACGAGTGAAATAATTATTCACAACCCCCAACTTGTCAGTGATTGCTGGCAGTCTACCCCCCCCCCCCCGTCACCAAGGTCTCAGTGGCTGTCCTCCCCTTTCTAGCCACAGTGATCCTGAACGAGCTGAACTGGACCCAGGCCCTGGAGAAGGTGTTCATCGAGAACCGCAACGAGGACCCCTCCCTGCTCTGGCAGGTGTTTGGCAGTGCCACCGGCGTCACCAGGTACTACCCAGGTAAAAGAAGCCGCTCGAGAGGAATGGGGGACCCCTGGCCCGGCACGTGCCAGAAGCCCTCCCCCGGTTCTACCTTCACACGTCGCTGTGCACGCGAAAGAATTAAAGCCGATTAGATTAAAATTGCACCGACATTAATTGCAACTACTAGACTGACAATATCATACAGTTTGAGAACCGTATGTGGTGACATAACCCCGTTCAAATCTGTTAGACAGCAGCAGAGACACCCCACTGTCACCCCACAGTGGCTTAAAGCAGAGCTAAATGTCCATTAAAGGAAGAGAAAGGGGGAAAATACTCTCGTGCCACACTGCTAAATGTATTTCTTTTGCAAGTCTTTACTCTGTAATGTTCTTTTCTTCATCCGGTCTAACTTAATAACTGCGGGTCTGAAGCGTCTTCCAGAACGCCTCATTCCTGGCATCGATCAGGGCTTCGGTTTGTCTTCTCCCAGAATCGGAATGCGTCAACAGTGTAGACGCAGGAGATAGGAGCGTCTCTCCTTGTGAGCGATCAGACACAGGGTGTGGCACAGAGTATCAGCAGGGTACTTTCAGAGTCTGGTGGTCAGTATGCAAAGCATTGTCTAACGAACAATTAATCAAGGTGGAATCGGATGGAAGGGGGCTGATGAAGTGTGTCACTTCCTGGCTTGAGAGAGCTGGGAAGTACAGTAGCATTGTTTCAGAACCAGCCTTGTTTTTAAGTCATTTTACATGGACTTAGATTTCAAGATGGTTACACCCATATTTACACTAACTATCAGTTGTCGAGTTTGAGGATTTTCAAATTATTATTCCCTTACTGTGTGTTAAATCAAAAGCAACAACATCAAATTGGCATGTATCTTTTATTTCTGAGACGTCTTAAAGGAACCTTCCCCTTTTCTCCCTTTAGATATCGGACACAGAACAAAGGCCACACGCAGAATTCACTCTGATGAAATTGTGGCTTTTGTTCTTAATTTGAACAACGCTAATATCGGAGGGAAAACCCACATTCTCAGAGCGCTGATTAGTAACAATAATCGTTTTAAACAGTTAAACTTGGCAGTCTTAAATGTTTTCATGAATTCCCTCCTGGCATCAGCTTAGATCTCTTCAGCTCACAGAGGCTCAAACAGAGGGTTTGGCACCTCGAATCGCTCACCTGTGGACACTGCTCCGGCTGTCCCGATTTCTCTCTGACCGTGTTTCCTGTTTGTCTGTGCCCTGTGTCCAGCAACGCCATGGAGGGCTCCCAATAAGATCGACCTGTACGACGTCCGAAGGCGACCCTGGTAAGGATGGCATGGTTTTGATCTCCAGCTGTGACGTAACGGTGAATACAGTCCTCCTAGTGTTGGCTGAGCTGACAGATAGTCTATAAGAATAAATGAGAACATTAGAAAGGTTACAGAGAAGGGGAGGTCATTTGGCCTGTTAAGCTGATTGGGGAGCTAGCAGCTCATCGATCCAGCAGGCGCGTCCAGTGGTTATCTGAAGGAAGCCAGGGTGGCGGCTCCAGCAACATGGCTGGGTAGCTTGATCCACACCCCCACAACCCTTTGTGTAAAGAAGTCATCTTTATCACCTCGTTCTCGGCAGCCCTGTTTCAGAACTGAAGCAGAAAGCGTCTTTCCTGCCCAGAGCAACAGCTCTTAAGAGCACCGTGACCGCTATCGTCCGGGGCTGGGTGAAAACGGAGGAAGTGCACCTTGTCTGTCTTCGAGGGAGCTGCTCTCTCGCTGTCGGCGTTCCTCCATCTCCGTCCTCTCGGCCTCCCGTTCCTTTCCTTACTTCCGTCTCCTCCGTCCGTCCCGCGTGCCTCTGCCCGGGCTGGCCCAGACGGCCGCCTGACAGGCCGACCGGCGCCAGATCGCCAGCCGGACGGACCCGTTCGGCCCTTTCTGCCTGTCCGGCAGTCGACAGCGAGCCGATCCAAGGATCTCATCCAGCTGCTTCTGGAAAACAGCTGGAATAACCCTTCTCACATCCAGCCCGTGGCTCTTCGGGACGCTGAAGGCGGGATCGAAGCATCTGAAAGATTGGGTTGGCCGCAGGAAATCGATTAGCGGCAGGTTTATTTTTTGCGGCCGGATTCTAGAAGGGGTGTTGGGAAGCAGCCGGTGGGGGAGACAGGCTGGCACGTGTCATCCCAGGGGTCCTAGCGGTGGCTCTGAGGTCGAGGCGGGGCTGGGCGGGGCTGGGCTAGCTCTGCTGGCAGGTGGGGCCCGTCACCGTCGCCTTCTGACGGGGTCATTCTGATGACGTTTCGCCCCTCTGGGGGGCAGCCCTGCCCGTCCAGCGGCTCCGTAGTGCTCGGATGAAAACGATGCAGTCGGGGGCCGGTTGATTAATTACACTCTCAAGTTCCCCCGCAAGCAACTGCAGCCCCGGAGCTCCCAGTCTGCGCTCCCATGACGGCTAAATGTGTTTTTTTTTTTTTCGGTGAGTAAATAACTTCCATCTGCTTTGCTCGTCTTTGTCACTACGTGGCTGGAAAAATAAAATGGTTCTGGGATGAGCCCCTACTACCCATAATGCACGGGAGACGCCGACACTTTCCTGGCTGTGGCGGCACCTTCCCAAGGTTTTCCCAAATCGGAGTCCGTGGGTGGCTTGCAATGTGACAGCAGGGGACGTCTGGGGACCGACAGCGTGCCTTGTGAACTAGCGATATGTTTGGTGCAAAATGTGGAGTCAGACAGCGCGTGTAGTGGTCGCGTAGATCATGGTTCATGAGCTAAAAGCAGAAGGAGAATCTGCCCCAGGAAAGTCAGCAGAAGGCGGTTGGAACCTGAAGGCTCTCAATGCAAAGTGATGCTGAGGCCGGCAGTGTGATTGATATACAAACTGAGAGCAGGGGGGAACATGTCTTTACACAAAGGGCTGTGGGTGTGTGGAACAAGCGGCCCAGCCATGTTGTTGAAGCCAGTGCCCAGGCTTCTTTCGAGAAAAATCTGGATGAGATCCGGGGGTCAATTACTAACTAGCAAACACGCCAGATGGGCCAAATGCTCTCCGCTCGCTTTTAACCTTTATGTTCTCTGTTCTAAAACCAAGATTGAGGCGGCGATGCACAGTAATTTGTCTAGATGTTAATTAGCGTCTGTGCAAGTTGTGACCCGTCTGATGTTCTTAAATGACAGATACTGTAGGTCTGAGTCCAGGGGGCTGGGCCACAGTTCCTGCGTTACTGTGCTCTGGGGCATCATCAGGGCCTCGTTCATTTCATCGCCACATTTCAGATAAGCCTCTTTGTAATGACGCAAGCTCTTTGCCTAACAAATTGCTCCTGCCTTTCCCGCTTCACCAAGAGCCCTGTGTTTAAAGATGAGGAGACTGGCTTGTCTGGCCCTGTGTTAAAACTATTAAACCATCATCATAAACAGAACCTGCTTCCTTCTGTGCCATGCAATAATAAGACTCAACTATGTAAAGAGATGTTAACAGGGTCTGAACTGACAGACTAATTAGATTTCCACTGTCAGAAATGTCCCTGGTGATTCTCCCTGACAGAACCTGATTTAGCAGAAAACCTGTAAAATAGAGTATAAATCTTAGAATGAGGAGCTCTGGTAATTGGAGTGTTGCTGAGGCATTTAGTCACTAACGTGAGAGGCAGAAGCTGGCTGCTGTGTTCTTTCAACAGATGTGCAAATCCAGTTTCTTTTTCAGAAACACAGTTTGCTGGTTAGAATCCATGTCATTTCTGTAGGCCTTGGATCGGCACAAAAACACAAGGCAGCACAACTGTTTAGCTAAGTGTGATATAGTGACCAGTCATTTATGAATTATTATGTAACTAACAATTTTAGGGATTACTGAAATTCCCATTAAAATAATTGCCTTCCAGACCAGCTTCCAGAATTTCTGCTGGGCAGCTCGGGAGGAAGAGATCAGGTGTCGTCATTCCCAGCATTACTTGTCTGATTCCAGCAGACCCTCCAGTCTGTTAAGTCCTTCCAGATTGGGTCGGTACCCATCCTGTGCGCAGTGTCGTCTCTCTAGTTCCTTGCCGTGTTCACCTGGGCATTAGGACAGCTCACCTGCTGTGGCCTGGCTGGGCCGTCTCTGGCTGGACAGCCCATCTGCGGGCGCGGGTTCGAGGGGTGTCAGGCGCCCACCAGCAGGTGGCGCTGCAGTGAACGGGGCTCGTGCTGTAGCGCAGTGGTGCCCAGTCCTGGTCCCGGTGACCCATTCCATCCCGCCTTCATCAGAATCCATACACGGCCAAAGATCTTCATCTGAAGATTTGCGTTTTGTTTTCTAGTCCAAAGTTTGGGATTGGATGTCCCCTAAATTTATTTAACTTTCAAAATACAATGGTTAAAGCTCCGACACGTTCAAGAGCCGAAACAAGCAGCCATTGTTGATCTTACTATTCATGATGTCAGCGCACAGGGTGTGACTGTGAGACTGATGGCTTGGCTGGAACGAAACCCAGCAGGTGTGTGTGTGTGGGGGGGGGGCACTGGGCCCAGGATTGGGAGCCCCTGCATTAGCAGCTGGCACAGCTGCGCCCTCTGTGAGTTCAGGGGTCAGGTGGTGCCAGTGTTGCCCCTATGCCAGCTCACGGCTCTCTGGGTCCGGTCAGCGTGTGCGTGTAGAACACAGGAACACGTCACCCGTTTCCCTGTTGCTACACAAGATGCCGCTTCCTGCTCGGCACTGAAAGCTGGAGGAGTTGCTCTGGGTTCCAAGACAGAATGGCTTGGATGTTTGCGGAAAAGTTTGGGCGTGAGGGGAGGGGGGAGTAAGGTCTCTGGGACGGCTGAGCGATCTCTTTAATTAAGTGATGTTTCCGATTCCTGGTGGCTGAGCTCGTGATTTTCTGTTTGTGCTCTGCGATGACCTTTGCACAGACTCGGGGAGTATGTAATTGACTCCCCACTAATTGCCAAAATATCTTTAGCCGGCTGCTCCGCGGGCCTGCGTGCGTTCCGGAACGGAGCTGAAACAGGAGGAAACAAATGATGCTTTGGGAACGGCAGCGTTTAAACTGGTTAACTGGGAGCCTAGCAGCTGTGCAACAATGCATTGGGAAGTAAATGGTGTTGATTGCATGTGTATGTATACTGTCGGTGCTAATGTAAACCCTGCCAGGCTTGTGGCTGTCTGGATGCAAAAGTGAGCAGAGGACCAGCTGCGCTCCAGTGTTTCTCTCTGTCAGCCAAGTGATTAAGCGGACATCGTAGGACATTTTGGGGTGTCAAGTGGTGGGGTAGCCCCTTGGACGTCTTTAAAAAAAAAAAAGCATTTTTCTTCCAGGTTGCAGCCCCAGAGAGCAGGGAAATGAAGGCAATTACCCTGAGTCTGCCGAACTGTTCCCCCTGGCTGCCTTCCCACCCCCAGACCCCCCGGAAAATTAATGGCCCAACCACCACAGTTAATTGTCTCCAATTGCTCCGACATTAATTATTAACATTTCTCAATTGTAACGTCTGTAAGGGTTATCAAAGGGAGGGAGGGAGGGGGGGGGCAGAGAGATGGAGCCAGGCAGCACACAGAGCAGAGGACGCAGGCTTGAGCCACCGAAGCATCGCGAAGATCCCATTACCGCCGCGGCGCATTCCAGCGAGCAGCCGGCAGAGAGGTATCGATTTTCAGAAAAGCCCATCTCGCGGCGGTAAATATTTTGGGCCGGCGAGCCGGCGGCCGGGCCCGCAGGGAGCCGTTTGATGACGCACCCGCTTGAAATGAGCGGACTGGGTGGCCTCTCGCCTTCCCTGTCACAGGCCGGCCGCGGTGCCGCCCGCTGTCTGAGGGGCGCAGCCGACCCGGGGAAGGGCCCCCCCCGCAACGCAGAGCAGTCCGCTTTCAAAGCCCGCCCCAGCAGCGCAATCCGGACGCGATTCCTGGATTTCTCCCTGAACGGCCTCGGGAAAACGATTGAACAAAATCTGGAGGCCTTGACTATTCGCTGTAGCGACTGAGAGAACCACAGGAGTGCCTGGAAACCATACCTGAGAAATGCCTGCGGTATTGTCTCCGGATTTCTGTAGGTGATGGACTCTCCTCTGCACTGCAACTCCGGGGAAAGCTGGACCCCGGTCCCAGATCCCAACAGAACTTCCTTATCGTGCGGAGCGGTGGCTCTGTGGCTCAGGATATGCGCCTGTGGCTGGAAGGTTGCCGGCTCAAATCCTGCGGCCAACAGAGAAATCCTACTCCGTTGGGCCCCTGAGCAAGGCCCTCAACCCCAACTGCTCCAGGGGCGCCGTACAATGGCTGACCCTGCGCTCTGACCCCCAGCTTCTCCCTGTCTGTGTGTCTGTGTCTACATGGAGAAAAGCTGGAGTATGCGAAAAGACGAATTCCTAATGCAAGAAATTGTATAGGGCTAAAAAAGAAACATTATTACATTATTATTATTATTATTATTATTATTATGAATTAGGGAGAGGGGATTGTCATGAGAATCGACAGGGTGAACACAATGCGTGCCGCACTTCAATTTCAGTGATGGCAGCTCACAAAAGCTGCAGACTGATAAGATCTTCAGCGTTCATGTTGTTTTTTTCTTCATTAGAGTTCCATTGCCGTGAAAAGTTGATCACTTGTGTTTTTTTTAATACGTTTTTTTTTATTTTTACGCTTCAGAAACAAACCATAATACAAGAATGGCCCCCCTCTCCCCCCCCCCGCCCCTATTCTCCCCCCCCACTGAGCGGCCGAGATGCTGGAAGAAAGAGCCGAGCTTCTGGAGGCTCAGGCGGAATAAACAAGTCAAGATTACATCATCTTTCTGAGGGCAGCTGTGGATTTGCGTCTCCTGGAGTTTATTTTATCTTAATTTAATCTTTATTCAGTCCACACGTCTCCCGGGAGAGCCGGGCTCGGGAGGCGTCAGTCCGTCAAATAACAAAACCTGTCGCTCCGACACGCACGCGTCGGGGGCTCTGCGACGCACAACACTCGCCGCTGCCGAAAACACAGATAAGGCCTACTGATCTGGCACCTGGAACTGCTGGAAATTCAAGTGTAGAGCCGGTAACGGAGCCTGTCTAATCCGCCCCTTCTCTACCGCTGCTGAATTTCCGTCTCCTCGTATCGTCTCCCCGGTCCAGACCCGGGAGAGGAGCGCACGGACAGGACCGGAGGTGCTGGCGCCTGCTGAGCTCCCCCGCGCAGTGTCTTTGCGTTGCTGTTTGGAAGCCGCTGTGCTACAGAGGGCGGGTTTGGGTTTGGGTTCGGGTCCAGGCAGTGGAAACGCCCTTCGGCCGACAGAGAACTGAGTCCCGCTGGGTTTTCCCTTGATCCGGGCCCCCCACGGCGATGGCCTCACCTGTCGCTGATTTATTGATTTATAGCAACTCAACCTCCCCCCCCCAGAAGCCTGCAAGGTAGCCCTCACAGATGTCCATAACTGCCGAATACTGTATGCTGAACATGCAGTGTGCATCTCGGGGACACTCAAGATGACTTCTTTGATTGTAAGGTCAGGTGCTGCTTCTGAACTTCCTAGAGCAGACCTTAATGTCTTCTTGAGTGGGCTGTCGTGCCTCCACTTGAAAGTTACAGAGAGCCCTTTTTAAAGGGTGCGCGTGGTAGAGACAGCGAGAGGCACGTGCAGTGAAGTGGCAGCTTTTGTTAGATACTGTAGGTTCGATAGCTGTACAAGTGCGAGTGGGGTCCCGGGACTGGATGAGTGCTCGTTCCTCGTTATTCTTAGACTACGCTGCGCAGCGCACTACAGCAGGAGACCCTCAGTCTGCTCAAAGGTTCAGAGTTGAACTGTAATACCCAGCAGTTTTCTGACAGCTGCTACACAGACGTCATGAACAGGAGGCAGTGCAGAAGTGACAAGAAGGAAGTTAAAGCCTGTATTAACCCTATAAGAGCAGGTCCGCAGGTTTGTCAGACTTGAAGCGAGTTTGTATCCGGGTGATGAGGAGTATTGCACATCGCCTTTCGCAGCAGGTGTGTTGACACTTGATTGAACCGACATGACGTGGGCAAATTCATTCTGCTGATGAACATTTGTAATTAGCAGTGCTGATCGACGGGAGGTCTGTTGTCAAAGTCACAGGCTAGTAGACAGTCTGCACCTCTGTGTCACATGATTTGCACCGTGTTGCAGATCCTGTCCTCTTGGATTCCGTTCCATTCGTAGCCTAGAACCTCGACGTGTGCCCGTTCTCTGGTCCCTGAGCCCTAGGTGCCACGTGTCATCCCAGCTCATCCCAGCAGTGTTCACTGGGGCTCATGTCTGGTGCGCCCCAGCGATCCAAAGCAGAACGAGGACGTGTTGTCACTCCGGGAGGAGCCCACAGCAGGGGCCGCGAGTGGGCTCCCAGGACTGGACCAGTGTAGCCGTGCAGTCAGGCTGCCATCAATCAATCAATCAATCAGTAGGGACTAGACACTCCTGCCCATGCGCCCATCGCAACACGGACCTCTGCAACGATGGGCCTGCTGTACACACAGCCATTAGCTGATTGTATTGCACTCGCCAGCATCTGTCAAGCTAGTGTATATAGAGGACTCCACTGCTGACGATAGCCCTTGGCTTTCACTTACCGCTCAGTAGACCAGTTGCCTGTGCAGAGCTCAGCGCAGCCGTGATACAGGGAGAATGCATCAGAGGCCAGGAGCCAGCAGAAACACTGTCGCGCGCGGCCGTTTGTCCTGGTGCGTCCGGCCGTGCTAAAAGGAAGGCGTTTTCCCAGTCTTTGGGATAAACCTGGACAATTCCAGTTCTGAATTTTTGTAAGTGCTTATTTGAGCACAGAACATCAGTTCCTGATTTTCCATTTTATAGCATATGAAAGTTAAATAACGATAATGTTATGTTTTATAGTGTCCTTACAGTGGCCTTTGTGACTCTTGACAGGGTGTTCCTAAAATATGGGAGGGGGGGTGCAATGTGCTGTACATTGTTTCCGTTGTGATAGTGATTTTTATTTTATTTTTAGCAGCGTTTTAATGGTCTCCACCATTTACGGTTGTGCCCAGTGTCAGAAAGGACTCTGGGCACAACAAGCTGTACCTTTTAGCCATCGTGTGTCTGATCAGTTGCGACCCTCCCCTGCACGCTGTTGATCAGTCTGTTAGACCCTTCTGTTTTTCTGTGAAGACTCCCATCAACCGATTGAGTCTCAACGCTCCACATATAAACCTCTCCTGGCGGTAGTGCTGCTCTTTATCAAATTGTTTTGAGTCCTTTCCTCTCACTGGCACCTAATCACAAGAAGTAAAGACCATTTCAGTTTCAGACAACTAGAACATACTACTTATCCCTTTTATTTAAAAATGCTCTCTCCATATTAGCATAAACCAATTTCTTGCTGCGTGTTTGTTTTAAGTAAAAGCTTGTGTCTCTGCAGTGAGAGTCCTAGACATGCTCTCTTGAAGAGGCAGCCACAGCACACGTTTCCTCACCCAGGGATGGGACTGCCTTGATAAGTATTTAGCAGCACCATATGAAAGAGGAGCTTTCTCTCTCTCCCTCTTTTTCTCTCTCTTTTTAAATTAAGATTTTAGTAATTAAATTGATAAAAGTCACGCCAATATGCCTCATGGTTCCAGTCCTGATTCTGAATGCCGCTCGTCGTGGAGCGCGGTGGAAATTCTACCTTTGATGTCTCGCTGTCTATTATTAAAAATAATTGGATTTTTTTTTTCTTTTTCTTTCCACCCCGGACATGCTCGGTTAATCCCACACTACAGGCTGCAGTGTCTCAGGGTTCCGGCTCTGCCTGACGAGATGGGGGCCCTCAGCACTGTGCTGTTTATCGGTTTAACAGTTTAACTCAGGATTTAACTCAGGACTCAGGTTGGAGCGCCAGCCTTTAACAGCAGGAGGTCAGGGAATCGCAATACACCCCTAGCCGAACCAGGAACGTTCTCCAGTGGATTTTAATGCTGAGGGTTCCTGCGTTCCCCCTCGATGATGTGCAGTTTGTAAGAGTGCAGGAAAAACTATAAAGGGCCTAGGAACCTGGCTGAATCCATGCAAAATCCGATCTCTTAGTGCACCTAGTGCTATTTGACTAAACAGTTGATTTCTGTCGTTCGCAGGTACATCCAAGGGGCGTCGTCTCCAAAGGACATGGTGATCATTGTAGACGTGTAAGTTCTTGCGACTCGTTAGCGTTCCACCTGCTTCCTGTCTTTATGTTCCAGGAAAGCAGCAAAGCGACGCATGATGCTGGATGCCATTTGTGAAACATAATTGACTGCATTAAAACAGCTGTGGCGTTACACCCCAATGTGGGCGTGTCTCATGTGGTGTCACTCCCACTGTGGGTGTGTCTCACATGGTGTTACACCACAATGTGGGCGTGCCATGCATGGTGTCACTCCCAGTGTGGGCATGTCTCATATGGTGTCACCCAGTGTGGGCGTGTCTCACATGGTGTTGCGCCCCGATATGGGCGTCTCCCGGTTTCACTCGCAGTGTGGGCGTGTCTCACATGGTGTCACTCCCAATGTGAATGTGTCTCACATGGTGTCACTCCCAATGTGAATGTGTCTCACATGGTGGCATTCTGGCTGTGGGTGTGTCTCACAGCGTGTCATTCCGGCTGTGGGTGTGTCTTATGCTACCACTCCCACTATGGGAATGTTTCATACTGTGTCCCTCCCAGCTGTGTGTTCATCATGAATTGATCCCAGAGTAAGACCCGTTTAGTCAGAAATCACAGCGAGCTGAGGGGATGGGGGATGCCCTGTGTACGGACGTCAGTGGAAAGGACCCTTGAAACAGGACGTTTTTGACACTCGGGACTAACAAAAGAAACGAGTAAAAGAAAAGCCAAAAGGGTGCAGGGCAGATAATTTGTAATTAAGTCGTCAAACAGCACCGGAGAAACGCAGCCAATCTGGACTGACCCAGCATTCTTCCAGGACCAGAGTTGGAAACCATGGTGTGAGAACTGCAAGCTGAGGGTTAATAAAATGCAGAACTAACAGCTCTGTGCAGAATGGCAGCCCTAACTGCACAGCTGCAACAAGACAAGAGGCCGGTATCCATCATTGCTCATCATTGTGATTTCTACACCCCTCCATTAACCATAGGTTTGGCCTGTCTCAGTGGAAGGCAGCATGCTGCAGTTTCCAAAATCGGTGCTCGTCAGGTCTGTGATACCAGATGTTACGTGAGGCTGTTTGTGCTGTGCCGGCTCTCCTGCGGCCCTGCTCCAGCCATGTCTGTGTGGCGGCGCAGTGGGAGGGGTGGGGCTGGGGTCAGATAATCTTATTTACAGCTGCCGCACCATCCCTACCTGATATTCCCATCGCAGTCATGTGCTGATCACTTCCAATTAGAGACACAGTTACACTTCGGGTCATTGCTGTTATCACATTTGTTCCAGAGATTAATCTGCACTGTCATTTGCCCAGTTCTGCAGTGGGGTAACATTTTGTTTATCAAACTAAAATTGTTGGAAGGATTAGCATTGTAAAGGGGCTTGCTATTGAGTGTGAGGGCTTGTTATCATTATTCCATTAATAAAGGGGCAGTTATTGCTGTCATTCCGATTGTGGGAAACTGGAGCCTGTCCCAGGAGTGCCGGGCACAAGGCCATAGCCCATCCCAGGACCGGCACTCACAGGCAGGGACAATACAGAGATGCCAATAGAACTTGACAGCATGTCTGTAGAAGGTCAGAAGAAATATGAGACAAAAACTCACAAAAACTCCACACTGAAGGTGATCCAGTCTGCTGCTTCGACTACTACTACAGCTGTCGTTGTCATCAACGTGCTGAAGTCACACATTTCTTCGGGTCCCCATATGTAGGTTTCACAGTACAGTAAGGGTGACTTCTGTTAGCACAAATGTTAGACTGACGACTGACGAAAGCAACTTGTACCCATTCACAGAGCTGGGTATTTCACTGAATATGTGAAGTAGTGTGATGTACCTTCCTCAAGGTTACAACAGCAGTTTGTCACCTGCGATTCAACTATGAGTCTCGAACCTGTAACGAACAGTTCTTTCCGGACCCTATGCGGACGACACAATCCGACGGAGTGGGGTAACACTGGGGAAACGTCATGCAGGGATACGGGGCTGAAGACAGGGGGGCGTGTCCAAGGTGCGCTGGTGCACGGGGGAGGTGTGGCCGAGGCGAACAATCCCAAAGAGTAATCCATAGAGGGAATCCAAAAACACACGAGAAAGTCCAAAACCAGGAGATCCATCAAAACACGAAGTTAAAACCACGAAGGCCGGGTCGGAACCGGCGGACAGGGAACGGGAACAGAGGTTAAAACCTTAACGGGACCAGGCGCTTCCAGGTCCCGGACTTGCATGATACGGAAATCAGATGCAGAGCCCGGATGAGTGTCAGCGCCTGGCTTTTAAGGTGGGCTGGGAATAGGGAACAGGTGCACAGAATAAAGTCTCACGTGAAAGGGCTGGAGCACCCTTAAGGAGGGGGGACTATAATCGTGACAGAACCCTGGTGGCGGTTCCACCTTGCAGCGCCCGTGAATGTGTAGGCTCACGATTGGATTTCCCTTTTCTGCCTGTGGCGGAGGGGCACCTGTAAGGCTGCAGGCCCTCTGTCTCAGAAGCTGGGGGTTCAGCCCCTCACCCTGTGTTCCCCTTGTCCTCACCAGGAGCGGCAGCGTCAGTGGGCTGACCCTGAAGCTGATGAAGACCTCCGTCACGGAGATGCTGGACACCCTCTCTGATGACGATTACGTCAACGTGGCATCCGTAAGTCTTGTCTGTAAGGACTTCCCAGTGTGGCCTGCTGGGGCACAGAGAAGAGCGTTTTAAATGTTTGTCACAGAGTTCTGAAAAGATAAAGGAAATGCCTGTGCCCCCGAGGAATAAGTGCAGTATATCATTTCACAGTGGTACTGCGAATGCAAATGGGACACATTCATGTAAACTGCAGTCCGGATCTAGTATGAGTGTTTGAGCGTATAGCTGACACAGACGCTGTGCTTTTGTTAAACCATGTGTCAATACCAGACGGGCCTTCTGTCGATCCTTTCAGGCTCAGAATGTCAGTCTAACCCAGTGGTTGTCAATTTTTGGATCGGGGCCCAGCAGCATTTTATAAAGTGGAACTGAGATGGAAAATTGGCATTTCCATATTTATTGTAACATATGTTAGAATTTTTTGTGAAATCCTGTTTTGTGAGCTCGTAATCAAAGTCCGTGATTTTAATCTGAAGGGGAATGTAATAGCATTCTAAATAAGGTGGCTAAGTAATGCTCAAAGGTTTGCTATTCTAAAACCCAATTACTATTAATACCATGATATCCTTTATATACCAAAAATTGCTTTTATTACACCTAGTTGAAAATCTGTCTTCTAGCCCTTAACCAATTATCTAATTGATTATTTAATCATCACCCAGTGTGTCTATTTACAATGACCCGAGTCCTGTGGCTGCCTTTAAGAGGCAGGCTGACTGTAATTTGTCCTCCCTGACCCGGCCTGACACTAAGTGGACGTTCTAGGACTCTGACCACTGTAAATAGAC